TGCCTTTCAGGCCCATCCTTGCCCAGAGTGTGCACTCTGCAGGCTCACGTCAGGGTCCCTGGGGCCTCCCTGGCTTTGTGTGGCATGGTGCCTGCTGATGGTGTCGGGAGAGCTCCCTGACTCTGGGAAAGAAAAGTGCTGAGCAGAGACCCTTGGGGAAATCAGGGAGATGGGATTCCCAGAAATGTGGATGAGCCCCACAAAAGCAAGGTGGGGAGGTAGGAATTGGTCCCGCCTGTCCTACAGTAATGCCTGTACTGTTAAAATACCGTTTTGTCCTAACAAGCAATCCCCACACCATTTTTAAAATTTTTATTATTACTTTTTTAGATGTAGTTGGATACAATATCTTTATTTCACTTATTTATTTATTTTTAAAAAATATTTATTTTTAGGTGTAGATGGACACAACACAATGCCTTTTATTTTTATGTGGTGCTAAGGATCGAACCTGGGTCCCATCTGTGCTAGGCGAGTGCTCTACCGCTGAGCCCCAGCCCCAGCCCTCTACATCATTTTAACAGTTAAAAGTTGGGGGTTGGGATTGTGGCTCAGTGGTAGAGCATTTGCCTAGCATGTGTGAGGCACTGGGTTCGATTCTTAGCACCACATATAAAGAAAGAAAGAAAGAAAGAAAGAAATGGTTCATCAACAACTAAAAATATATATTAAAAAAAAAACAAAACAAAACTTGGCATCTGCTTTCCTTTCATGAAGACCAACAAAAAACAACTTTAAAAAACAAAACTGTAAAAATACTGCCAGGAGCAGTGATACACACCTGTAATCCCAACCACTCAGGATGCTGGGTCAGGATCATCACAGATTCAAAGACCAGCCCGAGTAACTCAGTGAAACTGTATCTCAAAAAGGGCTGGAGAAAGGAGGATGGGGTCCCCTGGGTGGTCTCCCCACGGCCTAGCTTCAGAGCTGCTGTGACCGAACTGTGTGTCCTTAAACAGACACGCTGAAGTCCTGTCAGCTGCTTCCTGTGCATGTGACCTTATGAGGAAAGAGTGCTTTGCTGATGTCATTGGGATGTAAGCTAGGAGCAGGTCTTACTCGCCTCCAAGTCTCTCCTCTTACAGGACTGTGTCCCTGTAAGAGGAGAGACTTGGAGTAGACCATGGGAAAGCAGCAACTGCAGCGATGAGTCTGAAGCCAACGAACTAAGGACTGCAGCAGCACCAGGGGCCGGCAGGGGCAGGAAGATTCTTCCACCAAGCCCCCAGAGGGCGTGTGGTTTTGCTGCTACCTTGACTTTAAACTTCTCCACTCCAGAACTGTGAGAATATTTCTTGTCACTTAAGTTTTTTAGTGTGTGGTACTTTGTACTTGCAGCCCCAGGACACAATGCAATTATTGTCTTCCAGATGCCCAGCAGCCCTGGGCACACCTTGCCTTTGGGGACAACGTGCCTCAGGCTCCCAGGAGTGAGTGCACTCATGCGTGAACCTGCTGGTGGGCACTGAGGTTCAGCCCCTTCACCTGATTTAAGGAAGCCCCACTCCAATGCAAACATGGCTCTCTGGCAAGGACTCCAGTTAGAAGTAAAGGTTTCCCTCAAAATTAAAAATCTGTCCTTAAATCTAATCCAACACCATCCAGCTGCCTGTCATTTCCATTCTGGGCAGGAAGTAAGTGCCTCTTCATGTTCTGACCCAAGCTTCCAGAACAGTGAGAGTCAATGAAGATCACCTCCTAGGGATCTGGGCCAGGACTCTGACCTTGTATGAAAGGACAGTGGGTCACAGCTCTCTGTGGCTGTTCTCACCAGCCTGTGCTGTATCTGCCCCATTTGTACCTCATTAACATGCTTCATTCCCCCTTTTTCTTTTTTTCTAATAGCAAGTCCTGAGTCCTCCTGGAACACAGCCTTAGTTCCTTGAGCAAGGAGAAACTCTAGTGGGGGCTCAGGTCACATTCACCTAGGGACAGGGATTGAAATGTGGGGGTCAGATATCCTTACTCATCTATGGGACATTGTGGCTGCAATGGCTCCAGTTACCTGTTCTTACCTCCTGCCCAAAGGGCAGGCCCTCAGAACTCCTGGAATACCACACTCATTTAAGGAGCATTTCTCAATGAGGACTTCAGTCTCCGGTTTGTCAACACAGACTTTTCTCTGGGAATAGAAACTAAGTCTTGGTGGGAAATGGGCTCTTTTGGAGATTTGGATTTATGAGGAAGAGGTAATTATTATCCAGCTACAAGTGTACAAAAAAGAAAGAAGCACCCCAACCTTGGTTGGGAAGGAAGTTTCTGAAATGGACTCTGAGGTTGGGCAAGTTATTCAACATTGGAGGAAAAGGTAAAGAGGCCAAAGGTGAACATGAGCTAAAGAGATTTGGAAGAACTTAGTCATCACACGGTAAGTAAACACATAACCAAATTCCTGGCACAAAGTAGGTAACAGACAAATGCTTTTTGAATGACAGGCTTAACAGAATCTAGAATCAACTTCAATATGGCTCTTAAAAATTTTTTTTGTAGGGGTCGGTACTAGGGATTGAACCCAGGGGTGCTTAACTATGAAGCCCCATCCCTAGCCCTTTTTATTTTTTATGAAACATTTTTTTAGTTGTCAATGAACCCCTATCTATATGTGGTGCTGAGAATCAAACCCTGCACACACGCAAGGCAAGTAAGCCATGACCCCTTCCCAGCCCTTTTTATTTTAAGACAGGGTCTCCTAAGTTGCTAGGGCCTTGCTAAATTGCTAAAGCTGGCCTCAAACTTCTGATCCTCCTGCCTCAGCCTCTTGAGTTGCTGGGATTACAGATGTATGCCACTGCACTTGGCTTAAAAATGTTTAAAAAAAAATATAGATAGATAGATAGATATACATGAGGATGCTACAGTTTGTGTTGCATTTTTTTCAGAGGAAAGTAAATCTAAAATACCCCTGTTATGCAATGTTGTGGGAATGGCAAAATAGGCCAGAAGCTCTTCGTCCTTCAAGATGAATTCTGTTTGCAACCATTGAATGTGCAGCAAAAGGACTTTCACCAAGACTGAAAGAATCTCATTTATTTTCTGTGTCTGTGAGGTTCACATTAAGTCTCACTGCTTATTCTTTAGGATGTTCATTTTGAAGATTAATGAAGTTAAAAAGTAGGAGCTCAAAGGAAGCATTTTCCATTACGAATCTTCTATTTAGTCTTTGAACTGAAAGAGTAAAATAAAAATGTACTAAAAAAAAATTGTTATCTGGTAACACCCCACCCCTAGTTTCTTTTCTTGGGGGGAGGGGCGTTCCTGGGGATCTGAGGGGTGCTTACCACTGAGCTACCTCCCCAGCATTTTTTTGACATTTAAAAATGTATAATCTAGGGGCTAGGGCTGTGGTTCAGCAGTAGAGTGCTCCCTAGCTCGTGCGAGGCGCTGGGATAGATCCTGAGCACCAAATAAAAATAAATAAATAAAGGTACCGTGTCCAACTACAACTAAAAAAAAAAAAAAAAAAAGTTAAAAAAATGTAAAATCCAGTGGTCTCACCATGTGGTGCAGCTGCTGCTATCCATTCTAATAGTTTAAAATGTGCTTTTTTGCACTTTTTGTGATATATTCATCTGTCACAGAAATGGACCCTCTGCTGGACTCCAACCCAAGTCCCTCTTCTCCTCGCTAAGAGCCCCAACGCGGGAGACCTGAACCAAGGTTGGGGGCACAGGCGCAGGGAACAGAGGCCTTGACCTGCAGGTGGTGGCTCAATGTGGGCGGGGCTGAAGGCCATCTTGGGCTGGAGGAGGTGGCTTCCCACAGAGATCCAGCAACTTTGTCAGTCTCTGCTCTGCGCCCAGCTCTACCTCCTCGGTAGAAGGAAAGCCTTTCTCTTTCAAAAGTGCTTTCTGAATCCTGCTGGAGTTTTCCAACGTGTTCTGACGCAGCTAGAGCGATTCCATTTGTGGCTCCTAGTTTTAAATAGCAAAGCGCTTGCCGGGTTTTGGCCAGGTTGGAGTCGTAAGAAAAATGAAAATATTCTAAAACTCTTCCAATCACTCTCAACTAATAGCTTAGCTAACAGCTCACATCCCCTGAACTTTAAAAATCGAAACGCTTTCGTCTTCATAATGAGCAAGACAACCTACCTCCTGGGTGGAGTGAGTTTTAAACAGAACACGAGCGGCGCTGGGAAACCCGCCAGCTTGCGCGCCAGGCGACCTTTCAGCGAGGCAGCCGGGGCACGGCGCAGGCTTGCTGCGCGCTGCGGCTCTCACCCTGCGCCCCGCCGCAGGTCGCCGGGCGGGGCGATCCGGGCCCACCCGCTCGCTCACCTGTGGCCGCGTCCGGCTCCACCAACACCCGGTGGTTCGCGAAGCGCCGAGCGCCGTCCCCGCCGCCGGCCATCGCCTGCGTGCGCCCGAGCCAGGCACCTGCGAACAAGTGCGGGTCGGTAAGCGCTCCGCCCGCCCCGCCCCGGCCCCTAGCCCCACCAGTGGCACCAAGACCACCACTAATGGCACCCCCCTGCCGCACGCACCCGCGTAGAGCAGGGCGCGCGCAGTGACGCGCCTTCCCGCTGCCAGCGCCATATTGAGTGGGCGCTAGGTCGCGGCGCAGCTTGCAGCCCAACCTCCCGGGCCAAGGCTCCTCCTCCCGCCGACTGGGCGGAGCTGGGCACAGCGCGGGACTCCTGGAGGGCCGACAGAGGGGGTCCTACCTGTGCGGGCAGTGCAAGGCCTGGTAGTATTGGGCGTGCTGTTTTGCTCCTCATCTCAGAATTTCCATTTCTCCCGGTGACAAGAACCATCGATCGAGGTAAAGGAGGCTTTCCCATAGCTACTAATGCAGTAGCAGAGTCCGGGCGATAGAAACGCCCCTTTCCCGTCCCACACCCTCAGGAGTAACTAACACTCCAGGCTGTTCTGCAGGCTGGAAGTATTTGAAGATGTCATTTGGGAACAAAACAAAGCTTTGGTTCTCATTTTGTCAGGCACTAGAGATCACCACTGAGACTTCTGGGTATTGAAGGACAGGCAGAGGCAGTGAAACCAGCATTCAATCTGCATTCTAATCCTAGGTTTATTCAATACGTTTTCATCACTCTACACAACAAAGTACAAACACAACCTTATCTAAAATGCTACAAAGTTACAAAACTCAAAAACAAATTTTATAGTACTGACTGTACAATGAGGAAAAAAAAGCAATATACACGTTGCCAAGGTATCCTGCAAGACCACCACAAATGGCAGTCAGAACAGGGGGCTCTGTAATGACCTTGCAGAGCTGGCTCTCAACTTGCTCACCAATTTGAGAGAGTAAGGGATATGTGGGGCAGGGGAGTGGAGAGGAGATGGAAAGACAGAACCATTTACAGCAATTAACAGGTGGGGGGACAACCCTAGAGGTTGGAAGAGAATTCAAGTGTGTGTGGGGGAGGCCAGGCCTAACAGGAATGGCAGCTTGGTCCCCTGCAGACATAGCACAGCATCAGCAAGGGCACTAACCAGGTTTGCCAGACTAGCTCAGGTCATCTGTGAAAAAGCTGGGCCACACTGCCACCTGGAAACTTGCTGGTCCCTGCTGGCTCTGCCACTGAACAGACTTAGGAACAGGAATGGGTGAGCTCTCTAGCCAGAAAACTGCAGGGCCCCTCAATGGACATAGCCCTGAACCATGAGCACTTCTGCAGTCAGAATCTGACTGCAGAGGAAAGGCCTCAACTGCTGCTTTTGAAGCCTGCCAAGTGAGGGGGTCTTTCCTGCTGACCCTCCTTCAGCTAGAAAAGTGACACAACTGGGCTGGGTGGAATATAAGGTATAGATGAGCTTCGGTGGCCCTTTTATCGGGAGGAATTTGAACTGGAGCGGCTTCTGTGGCGGCGGCGGCCGGGAGAGCGGGACCGCCTGCGCATGGGGGACCTGCGTCTTGGAGAGCGTGACCTGCAGTAAGAGAAAAAAATAAGTCAGACCATCAAAAGCAAAAGCCCCAGGAAGAAGTGCTGAGCAAAGCTGGCTTTTTCCTGGTTTTATTTTTTGACATTAGAAACTGTGGCCCTGTCAGGGGAATTACATCTGTACTAGTCCTCTGATCCCGAACTTCCTATCTTCTAACCCCTCCTCTTTTTATATCTGGGAAAAGGAGAGGGCCTGCACCTGGTCTTAGGATTTAAAGCCTCTTGGGAAGGCCTTGTAGCTCACCAGACTCAGGATGTAGTCTTGGTGTACTCCCAGGACCTCTTCTGTCACTGTCACGTACTACAACTACCCTTCTCCTTTCCCTGTTAGGCTCCCAAGGCTCATCATGTCAACCTGCTCTCTTCTCCCTCAATAGCAGCAGAGGATGGGCAATACTGAATAAAGGGCCTCAAAGTCAATTAAGTTTGTGAATCACACTGGCCCAACAGGTACAGTGAACCTTCAAATCGACCTACCTCCTCCTCATCCGTGGGGGTGACCTACGCCACATGGGAGGTGGCGGCAGCATTCTCCTGGGAGGGCTGAATCGCCTGGGGGGTGGCCTAGGCCAGGGGGCCAACACAGCAGTAGCAGTAATCTCCTGGCCATCAATTTGTCCTATTGAAAAAAGATCAAGTCATATAATTCCTAACAAGCACCTATCTTAGGCAAGGCACCAAGAAAGATACGTGAAGAGCCAAGAGAAGCCCTTCTCCCAGGCCCATTAGGACGCTCTTGAGCACAAAGATGAATTGATACTCAAGCAAAGGGAAGGAAAGGAAAGAATTTATTGAGAAGTAAACCTCCAGAACTTATGTGATGGATTATCTGAGAGGTGGAATTCTAGTGGGGAACAGCATGAAAGAAGTCTCAGGAGATAACTGCACAGTGTGTGTACATGCAATGGCACAAGAAGCAAGGGGAGGCAGCACAGCATGGAAGCACCAGAAGTGCAAAGGTAACTGAGGTACAGATCTAGTAACCTCTGGCAATTGTCCCCACAACTGGGGGTACCTGAGTCCACAAAGGCCTTAAAAAAAAAAAGAAAAAAAAAATATATATTTTAGTTGTAGATGGACACAACACCTTTATTTTATTTTATATGGTGCTGAGGATCGAACCCAGTGCCTTCCACATTTGAGGGAAGCACTCTACCACTGAGCCAGAACCCCAGCCTACAAAAAGGCCTTTTAAAAAACAAAAATTTTTTTTGGTACTTGTAGATAGACAGAATGCCTTTATTTGCTGTGCCACTGAGCTTCAGCCCTAGCCCCCAAAGGCCTTTTGTCTTCTCAGCTCCTACCCTGCAAGGTACCCAGGGGCTAACTCAGGACAGACTGACTTGTATTCATATTCAAGAGGTAAAGGATTTCACAGCACTGACTTTACAGTCAAAATATAGGGGTTGAGGGCTGGGGATGTAGCTGGGTTCAATCCCCAGTGTGCCCCCCCCAAACTTTTTTTTTTTTTTTAAAAGAGAGAGTGAGAGAGAAGAGAGAGAGAGAGAGAATTTTTAATATTTAATATTTATTTTTTAGCTCTCGGCGGACACAACATCTTTGTTGGTATGTGGTGCTGAGGATTGAACCCGGGCCGCACGCATGCCAGGCAAGTGCGCTACCGCTGAGCCACATCCCCAGCCCCCCCCACTTTTTATGTGGGAATATTTAATTTCTGAGAATCAATTTCTATTTTCTAAACAGACAAATCTATTTCTGGCCAGCTGCCAGTAAAGGCCAACCCCTTGAAATCTCCTGGAGACATTGTGGACTTGCTCCATTTGATGATGTATAGCACAATTGGGGAACACACACAAAATCCTACCATAATCTTAAATTAGAATTTTTACAGTCATGCCTACCCTGAATGTCCCAAGTCTCTGGAATTTCTAGCTAATTAGCAAGTGCTCAGATTCTATCCTGAGTTCCTAAAACATTTAAGAGGGACTTAAGTAAATTGAAAAGTTGGCTAAGTATCAAGAGAATCTTCCTAATACTCAACCTCTATCAGTGCTCAAAGGCAATTACCATAAATAAATAGCCCTATTAAACTATCATGAAGTTTATCCCAGGATCCCAGGGGACTTGAAGTTCTAGGGCATCCAGACTTTTCCACATCCTGGCCTGCAGGCCCAGACAATACTGTGGGCTACCTGTTCTCAGCCCTAGCTTCCCTATCACAGTAGTAGGAAGCTAGACAGACATGCCATCTTTCTTAAAATACTAACTTAAAGACAAAATAGAAATTGGTTACCCAGAACTATTTGTAAGTGTTCATACAATTTAAAAACCACTCTGCTCAACACAACTACTTAACCTCAGAAATGCCAAAATGTTGGCAAAATAGAAAATGATTCTTAGAAATTAAAATATTCCCACATAAAAAGCCAAAAGTAGTGGGGTACACTAGGAATTGAATCCAGGGGCTCTACTGAGCTACATCCCCAGCCCTTAACCCCTATATTTTGAGACAGAGTCTTGCTAAGTTGCTTAGGGCTTTGCTAAATTGCTGAGGTTGGCTTTGAACCTGTGATCCTCCTGCCTCAGTTTCCCAAATTGCTGGGATTACAGGTGTGTGCCACTACCCTGGGCTCAAAAAATTAAATGTTTTCTTCATAAGAAAAGCTTCATTTGATCAAGTTTAACAGACTAAAAACCTCTTAAAAATGGCAACATATTCATAGTTGCTGAACACCCCCCAAAAGTTCATGAAATAGTTTTTTTTGGGTAAACATGCCCCCATTGAATCAAAGATGGGATCCTGAAGGAACTACAGTCAGATTTAAGTGCAGCTGGGTGGAAATCAGCCTGAAAGGTTCCTATTGGTAACAGGTCTCTGAGGACAGAAGCAGGAAGGTCAAAGCTGGTGGCAGAGTCATCTACCTCCATCCATGTGCTTCAGCGCCTTCTCAGCTTCATCTGGATTCTCAAACTCCACATATGCATAGCCTTTGGATAGATGAGGATGCATCCTTTCCACAGGCATGTCAATCATTTTAATTTTTCCATAGGTAGAAAATATCTCCATGATGTGATCCTAGAGGGAAAGAAGGGTCATGCTCATGCTCTCACCGACCAATTATTTAATAAGAGCTGGAATTCACCACATACTTCAGCAGTGTAAAAACATTCTGCTCTCTGATAAAAGCCAGTCATTCTGGGATATCTCCTGGACACGTTTATTCAATGGAACTAACCACACCAGTATTCTGAAAGCCACCTGCTGCCACTGACCTGTCTATACCCCACTGCTCCTATCTCCCAACAGATCCATGATCTCACCTTGGTCACATTCCTGGTGAGTCTTCCAATATGCACTTTGGTAGGTTTAGGGGAAGGGCTCCGCCTTTTCCTTTCCTTTTCATCTCTTTTAGGTGGCTTAGATCTGAAAGATAACAAACAATTTCTGTCAAGCCAAAGTGTACTGGATTTGGGCTGTAGGTGTAACACAGTGGTCCAGTGTAAGCCTAATTTGTGCAAGGTCCTGGATTTAGTACTCCACACTGCCTCCCACAATCAACAACGAAGAACTGGACTCCCTTTGGTGGGATATTAACCTGCTCATGTAACAGTTTTTACAGGGAAGCCTCCTACCAATTCATAATTAAGCTAGACTCTTTTTTTTTTTTTT